ACAAGTAGGATGACAATAAATGAAAATGAAACCACCAAACACAGAAAGACAGAAATCAAAGTTTAACTGAAAATCCAAAGTGAAAACCTAAACAGAACCAGAAAGTCCAGAAAGTGCAGAATCATGGCAAACCGTTTGTATAATGCAACATCAGACACATTTAAAACTGTGGCAGTTTAAAGCCGTCCTCTCTAAGACCATCAGTCCAGATATAAAATCACTCAGGGAAACCCGGCTGTGAACTGCAGGACATCTAGCAGTCTTCCAAGTCTCCAAGTTCGATGCCAATGTTAGGGAATCAGGTACCAGCCGTTGGAATGTAAAGAGTATTGCTTGGCACTCTTCTTTCTTATCATTTCACACAAATATTTTTGAAGAAGACCCAGAATAACTTTAAATATGGAAGCCTAACAATGATGGAGCCTGTAGGTCGTCATTTGGTAGACTTAGATGGTCTTAGATGGACTTTTATGGTCAAAGGTTTCCATGAGAACTCTATCAGAACCCAAATCCATTTTACACGTTCAAACCCCAACACAGAAGTGATTTGTTGGTTTTTCTCCTATATGCAGGGTGAGGACTTCGCCTTACAGGCTGCCTTATGCTACTCTAGCACATATTTACGTCAGCAAAACAGTAATGAGTGGCAAACCTTCACTCAGTAAAAGGACCAAACCAAACTAACGTTTAGAAGAGAAAAGTTTTAAAATCTGACATTTCCCTGTAAACTTTGAGATGGAAAAGGTCAATTTAGTTCCAGCCCAGTTTTAAAGGCTGCAGTTAAACATCAGCGATCATCAGGCTCCCTATAAGGACTCAGTGATGAGGAGCGCTGCTCTATCTGGGTTCTTTACCAGAGACAACCTTTCAACTCTTCTGTAAAAACTGCCTGGCTCTGCTGTTGAATTGTTTGCGTCTGAAACATTTCGTTTTATCCAGCATCTTTTTTATCTCTAATCTCCTTTAAAGTAAAATAATCTGTTACCAGAATAAATGAGAGCTGCTACCGGATCTGTCCTCCTTTAACCTCCATGCCAGTACGTCTCTGCTGCATCACAAGGTAGAGGCCCTCCTCCCAGCACGTGGCCCCCTGCTTAGTATTCCTGCCATGTCTGGCTGGGGGAGCAGCACTAAATTGGGATCAGGCAGATTAGTGAATAATATAGACGACTATTAAAGGCTGCAAATGGGAGCTGTGGGTCAGAGCGCGAGCCGTGGCCTTAGTTAGCCATACGCTAAGCTGTGCAGTTAGTCCCGACACACAGGTGTTTATTAAACTGTTGAATTAAAAACACACATACAGTAGCAGCCATTCAAAATGGCACTTCCTAGTCAAACACCAGCTGAATGGCAGCCCACTTCCCTGCAACTCCCAGCAGAATACCCTCAATGAACCCAACATATGTTTTAATCTGACTCCACCCTTTCACTGAATTACAGGGTCTGACCAGGAGATGGCGCTTCTCTTTAGATCTAAATGTCCACAAATCATGACAGAAAGAATATTTTAGTACAAAGATTGATGTTAAAAAAGGAATTGTTGGGGACCAGCAAAGAACCAGCCAAGAACCATCAAAGAACCAGCCAAGAACCAGGAAACAACCAGCCAAGAACCATCAAAGAACCAGCCAAGAACCAGCAAAGAACCAGCCAAGAACCATCAAAGAACCAGCCAAGGATCAGCCAAGGACCAGCTAAGAAACATCAAAGGGCCAGCCAAGGACAAGCCAATGAATTACCAAGGACCAGCCAAGGACCAGCCAAGGGCCAGCCAAGGACCAGCTAAGAAACTTCAAAGGGCCAGCCAAGGAATAACCAAGGACCAGCCAAAGAATAACCAAGGACCAGCCAAGGGCCAGCAAAGGACCAGCCAAGGGCCAGCCAAGGACCAGCCAAGGGTCAGCCAAGGAAAAGTTAAGGACCAGCCAAGGACCAGTCAATGACCAGTTAAGGACCAGCCAAGGAATAACCAAGGACCAGCCAAGAACCAGCCAAGGATCAGCCAAGGGCCAGCCAAGGACCAGCCAAGGACCAGCCAATGAATAACCAAGGACCAACCAAGGGCCAGCCAAGGACCAGCCAAGAACCAGCCAAGGATCAGCCAAGGGCCAGCCAAAGACCAGCCAATGAATAACCAAGGACCAACCAAGGGCCAGCCAAGGACCAGCCAAAGTCCAGCCAAGGACCAGCCAAGGGCCAGCCATGGACCAGCCAAAGTCCAGCCATGGAGCAGCCAAGGGCCAGCCAAGGAGAAGTTAAGGACCAGCCAAGGTCCAGCCAAGGACCAGCCAAGGACCAGTTAAGGACCAGCCAAGGACCAGCCAAGGGCCAGCCAATGACCAACCAAGGACCAGTTAAGGACCAGCCAAGGATCACCCAAGGGCCAGCCAAGGACCAGCTAAGAAACATCAAAGGACCAGCCAAGGNCCAGCCAAGGACCAGCTAAGAAACATCAAAGGACCAGCCAAGGAATAACCAAGGGCCAGCAAATGACCAACCAAGGACCAGTTAAGGACCAGCCAAGGACCAACCAAGGACCAGTTAAGGACCAGCCAAGGGCCAGCTAGGGACCAGCCAAGGACCAGCTAAGAAACATAAAAGGGCCAGCCAAGGACCAGCCAAGGAATAACCAAGGACCAGCTAAGGGCCAGCCAAGGAAAAGCCAAGGACCAGCCAAGGACTAGACAAGGAAAGCGGGGAGCTTTTGAATGGCTACTACTGTACATGATGTTCAGATCATGCTAATAAATTAGTTATAGGAGCAGATTCCAATTTAATATTATCACATCTGATCTAAAGACAAAATATTCACTTCAGTCTACCAAATCAGTCTTTTTTATGATTAATTAAGCATTTTAAAGTAAAGCATTAGGACAAAAACCTACCGTAATTAGACGGAGACTTAGTGGGTTAGCATGAAAAGCAGCGATGTTAACTTGGTTATCTGAATCAGAACTAGTGAACTAGTTACATGACATCAACGAGCGAAACCTCAAAGAAGACGACAGATGGGTCACTTCAACAAGCTTCAACAAGCCGCACCATAAACCAGTATGATGGTGGATTCAGTCCAAGATGGTTCAAAACGACTTCATTGATCCAAAAGGAGAATTAAAAAGATTCAGAAGGAAACGAGGAAATCAAGCCTGTTTTTATGAAGTACTTAGTTCCGCCCCCCTTCTGAGTGATGGATGCCAGCTATGATGAGGTTGTTGCGAGGTTGTTCGGAGAAACTGAACAGATTTCAGCTTTCAAAAACCTACAATGTAGCGATGGAGTTGATTCCTTCCTGCTATCATCTCAGTCCCAACCCCTTTACAGGGAACAGAAGATCTCACCTGTTCAGCCAGGCCAACAATTCCCTTTAACGACCCCCTTTCAGAGACATAGACAGGTATGGGGCATTGCAGGCTAACAAAGAAGCCAAACCACCCCCATTCCAAAGGGGGGGACCCGTTCATCCGTTTCTATTTGCATGTTTTCTAAACTAAATCAAGGCTTTGTTGGGCTGCTGGATAAAACCTGGAACGCAACACTATTTCTGACATTTTGAATTGAAAAAGTTTCCTAAATGGAAGAGAAATGTCTTCAAACTTGGAAACAAAGTCCAGCGGATTGATTTGAACTTTTCTGGAATGATGCAGTGATGCTCACTGAACATGTCTGGATGAAGGAGCCACATGCAGCCTTCCAGGGTTTCCCCCATAGTTACTCCACATCTGGACATTTAGACGTGGCGGCATCACTATTTCACTAGTTTTAACACATCTATAGAAATAGTGAAAAAATGCTCAAATCTGTCAGATGCGTCCCAGTGACTCTCTGCTGCTGCAGACATGAAAGGCTCCTGGTAAATGGTTCAGTGTTCCTGTTAGTCTGAGGGAAATTGGAACCTTGCAGAAATGAGAATTTTCTTTTCCTTCCTGTTTGTCTCCTTCAGGCATCCGCTGTTCCCCCTGCTGGCCCTGCTGTTTGAGAAATGTGAGCAGGCGACGCAGGGGTCCGAGTGCATCACATCAGCCAGCTTCGATGTCGACATTGAAAACTTTGTTCACCAGCAGGAGCGAGAACACAAGCCCTTCTTCAGCGAGGACCCGGAGCTCGATAACTTGGTAAACCACAAACTTTGCTGAAACATCACTTTCATCCCATTTTCTTCCATCTCAGAATTTGTTCCAAATTTTTATGATGAACTAATGCAGTCTAGCTACGTTGAAACCCCCCCCCCGTTAGCTCAGGCTGGATGTAACGTCAGCAGCCTTGTCCTCACAGGAAAGCCTGCTGATAAAAGCTGAACAGTCAGTTAACCTCACATCTGTGTGTCTAATGAGCCGCCGTCCCAGAGGGCGCCCACTCCTCCACAGGGGGATGACGGGACGCCGGGCCCTCCGGCTGCGGCGGGAGCAAGCGGACCCGGCCCCCTTTGGTCCAGGGAGGGCTGTTTTTATTGGCTGATTTCTCTTCTCCTTGGCGCAGCGCCTCTCTGAGCGTTCTGTTGACCTTTGGTGACTTTAGGGCAAAGTGTTGCTGTGTGCCAAACAGCAGAACGGCTGCTATCGATCCTTCCTGTTAAACTCCTCCTGCAGCCGTTAGGCTCTCAGACACTATTCTGGATCATTCGAAGCTAATATTCTATCATGTGCTTCTAGGATTTGACCAAAAAAACATTTTCTACTTGAATGAAAAGCTTAATCTTTATCTAATCTGGGCAGGTGGTTATATTCAGTCTGACGCCTTCAGTCCACCTCATTGTGTAACAGGATGTGTTCACAGTGGAAAAAAATCAAAACCTAGATAAGGGTTGGGATTAGGTAAAAATTTCTTCTTAAAATAAGTGTATTTGTTCTTGGATTGAGGAGGTAAAAGAGACATTTTGCCAATGAAACGAGACAATTTACATTTAAAATAAGAAAACACAATTGTATTGTCTTATTTCAACAGCATGTTATCTAATTATCTTATTTAAAGAGTAAAAATACTCCTTCCATTGGCAAGCTCTCATTTACCTACTCAAATTAAGGGTAAATACACTTAATTTAAGACATTTTTACATACTTCTGGATTGTTTTTCCAGTGCAGGAGGCTTAAAGCCGTTCAACAGTCTGATAGAAGTTGAAGCAGTCAGTGTTTAAACTCCAGATATGTTTTTTTTTGCCTGATCCCGGTCAGATGGTGAAGGCCATCCAGGTTCTACGGATCCACCTGCTGGAGCTGGAGAAGGTCAATGAGCTCTGTAAAGACTTCTGCAACCGTTACATCACCTGCCTCAAGACCAAGATGCACAGCGACAACCTTTTACGTAACGACCTGGGCGGACCGTACTCCCCGACCCACACCAGCCTCAGCATGCAGCAGGTCAGTCCCCCCCTCCAGCCAAACACCAGCAGGTATAAATCCACCATCGCTCACCTGTATCTCCTTCTGCGATCCCCCAGGAACTAATTCAGACCTCCTCTCCATCCATGACCTCTGTCTCCAGCTCTGTTAACTCTTCAGGGATTGTGGTGCCCGCTGGAGGCCTGCAGCAAAGCAGCGTTGCCATGACTACCATCAACTCACAAGTGGTGTCAGGTTAGCGTGCGATCACACACCAGACAAATATGCATGGAGCAGTTTCACTTCTAGCATGTTTCAGATTTTGCTTTTGTGGTTAAAACGTGTTGATGAGGAAGTGAAGGACTGATGATCAGTGACTGTATGGATAATTTAACCCCCCCATCCCTCCACAGACCCAATGAAAGCTCCACAGCATCTGCATGCTAATTTACAGCGGTCGACCAAGTACTCTACAGTAGTACTTGTGTAAAAGTTTTGTATGGGGCCAAAATTGTTGCTTTATTATTTACAAATGTGTGTGGAGAGTTGTATATGTGTATCTCCATTTGTGCGTGTGCAGGGGGATTTGAAAATGTGTAAAT